TTTCTGTGCAAGCCGGATGATGGCTCCGAAGTGGTGATCCTTGCCTGAAGATTTCGAAACCCTGAAACCCTAAACCCTAAAAACCCTAAACCCTAAACCCTAAACCCTAAAAACCCTAAACCCTAAAGTTTCCAATGAGGGTATTCTTGGGGCCTCCCGAGCCGGCTAACTGCTACTACCTTGGAGGATCCTGGGACTTAGTTTAGGGTTTTAGGGTTTTAGGGTTTAGGGTTTAGGGTTTAGGGTTTAGGGTTTAGGGTTTAGGGTTTAGGGTAAGTAAGGTTATAAGTCCTCTAATTGGGGTTATAAGTATAGTTATCTCAGTTATAACCCTACTTACTAAGTCCCATGATCCTTTAAGTATCTTGAGAATCTCAAGGGACTAAAGGAGGGAGGCACCCTTAAAAGGGACCCTTAGGGTTCAGGGTTTAGGGTTTAGGGTTTAGGGTTTAGGGTTTAGGGTTGGGTGTTTTTTTTTAAGGGGCCTTATGAGACTATGTAAGGGGTATAGAAGAGTTATATAGAATATTTGGATTAGGGGTCCCTTCTGGGGGTCCCTGCTATTGTCCCTTAAGCTAACTGAAACTATTTTGAGAATCTACCCCAAAGACCTGCAGCTTGAGCAAACCGCGCCCTGTTACCCAGAATCCCACCTAAACCTAAACGTACGGCTGAGAGCCCGGGGTGGCTAGTGCAGCGGAGAGGAAGAGCACCCCCCCCCCAGCCTAGAAATACCAAGACTAAACCTGAACCCCCAACAAGACGCCCAAAACCCGTAAACCTAAACCCAAAAAATCCCTAAACCCGTACAAACCTTTATCCCTCAACCCCTAAATCCTTAGTCCTAAACCCTTAGTCCTAAACTCTAAGCACGAGCTTCGGAAGTCTAGAACCGCCTTGAAGAAGTCCCTAAGCCCTAAACCCTAAACCCTAAGCCCTGTCTTGGGAAACCTAATATAGGTGCCTTAAATAATTGCACATTCTTGTTTTTTTTGTTTTTTTTTTGGGGAGGGTGCCTTACATGTTATTTAATTAAAGTATAATATAACCCGGAACCCTATTGAAATTACGAAGGCCCCTATACGATTCCTTATTCTCATTGATTAAAGTATAATATAACCCAGAACCCTATTGAAATTATTAGGGCCTCTATACTATTCCTTATTATAATTGATTAAAGTATAATAAAGCCCAGAACATATTCTAATTATTAAGGCCCCTATACTCGAGCCGCCTTGAAGGAAGCTCTCTCTGCGCTGCAGATCGCAGAGGCTGCGGACTGGTTGGTCGGTCTCGGGGGCACAGCTTTTTCTTCTCGGCTTAGGGCTTCGGGCTTAGGGTTTAGGGTTTAGGTTTAGGGGTTTAGGGTTTAGGGTATATATAGGGGTCTGAAGAAGTTGCAACATCACCGGTTTTTGCCTGGGGATTGCTTAAGGTATGTATCGTATACTAGATCCCAAATCAATTCTATTTTTCATCGAGGCCCCTCTAGCTAAGCCACTCAACCCGAAACCCTAAACCCTAAGCCCTAAACCCTAAATCCAAAACCCGAAACCCGAAGCCCTAAACTCCCTCTATCTCTGATTTTAGGGCTGGAGGCTTTTTTGGCTCATGGTCTGGGCTTTTCGCTTGCACTCTGATGTAGCTCCAAAACCGGGTTGGAGGGCTCAGAAGGGGGTCTTCTCGTTTAGGGTTTAGGGCTTTTTCGGTTGAGCGGCTTTCCGGACGTTTGGTTCAGGGTTCAGGGCTGCACCGCAACTCTAAAGTTCTCAGTCCCGAGTTCTAGGAGTTTGGGGCTTAGAGCTGTTTGAGTTCTGAGAGAAGTAGGGGTGCCAGAACTTTATGGGTCAAGCTTGAATGAACTGACACGCACTACGAGACTCTAAGTCATTATAAAGCCTTTCTTTGAGAATGGAACTTTGGCTCTTTCATTCGGGTTTAGGGATTAGGGTTCAGGGTTTCGGGTTGAGGGTGAATCCCCATGATAAAGGGGTTCAACCTACGTGAATCTCCATGATAAAGGGGTTCAACCTGCTGCGGTATGCAGGATTCTGTTTCATGGGCAAGTCCTAACTCACTCTCTAAGCCCTCAGTACCTTGAGCAGTTTATGGATACTAAAAGCCCTACAATCCTCAGCCCAGCCCTGATCCCCAATACAGGGGTCCGACTAATTTGTAAGGACGCGCCATACAACCTATTAAACCTGACATGCCCATTGCGCGTATCACTATTGGCGGTAAGCCTAATGCTACGAAACTGTAAAGCAGGACTAGACTTGTGACCTATAATGTATAGGCCAGAGAATAACCACACGCACCGAGCGTTAGGAAAGCTTGCGATCAACCCTAAACCGTAAACCCTAGAACCCTAGCCCGGTTGCCTAACCCCCGAACAGAACTCCAGGCATTCAAACGCCCATTCAAACGCAGAAACGACAAACATAACAGCAATAGTAACAGTAGTACTCTCAACTACCCCTAACCTCCCAGATACCTACTATATAGGGTACTAGAGCCCCTAGGGCCCTTTATAGTAGGTACTTGGGGGATTAGGGTACTATTATTTGTTAATCTTCTCAAGAATCAAAACATCACCAACATAGGAGGAAGAAAATGCAGGAGCTTGGGAGCTCCCTCCCTCCCTCCCTCCTTCCCTGCCTCCCTGCCCCCTAAAGTCTATATAGCATGGAAGCATTGAGAAGCATCAAAATCAAAGTCGCAGGAGCTGGGGGACAAGTTCCTCACCGCCCGAGCCCTCAACGTGGCTGGCCTCGCTTTCAGCTCACAGAGGTCCCGAAGGGACTGGGCCTAATCTAGTGGCCTCAATACTTACCTATACGATCTTGGGGGCTGCTTGTTATAGTCATAGTATAATATACCCCAAAACTCTATGCTAATTATTGAGGCCCCTATATTAGGGTTTAGGGTTTAGGGTTGGGCCTCTTCGGGTGCCTTGGAGGGTGTGTCTAAGGGTTCCCAAAAAAGGGAGGCTTTAAGAGATCCATGACGTTCCGTCACGGGCTTCATTAAAGGTTCAGGGTTTGGAGGCTCAAGCGTTAATTCGGGGTTTAGGGTTTTCTCAGGTGAAAGGGGCTTAGGCGTTGAGGGTTTAGGGTCTTAGGCCACGTAATATTCTTACGGTACAGTACTTTATTATAGAGTATTATAGTATGTTATCTTATGGTACATTATCGTTTAGTATCTTATAGTATGAGGTTGATTATGGATCCTGCTTGAGGGGTCTTCGTTGTTGGCAAGGTGTTCGTTTTAGGGGGTTCCCGATTAAGACCTCAACATACTGTTTAGGGGTAAGGGTTGGGTACTTCCAGCTTGAGGAAGCGGGGAAGAATTGGTTGGGAATTATCCATAGGCCCCATATTAGGTCCTTTTTTGGGTTTAGGGTTTAGGGTTTAAGGTAATCCCAGAAAGGAACTACTATGGGGCCTATGGGTATCCCTACGCCACGTCAAAAGCCTGGCCGCCGTGGAGGCGAGTTTGGCTGTGATTCAAAACCAAGGCGACAGGAGATACTTGCCCTTACCCTCAAAGGACTCATAGTTCAAGGCTTTACGGCCCAAAGGGCTGTTTTGATGCTACCCCTAAACCCTAAACCCTAAACCCTAAATAAGGGTTGGATTATTGTCGGAGCCGCAGACACAAGGATTGTGTGCGTTTGGGTAGTCTGGCAGGGTTTAGGGTTTAGGGTTTAGGGTTTAGGGTTTAGGGTTAGATGGCAGCCAGAAGAAATTCCAGAGGCCCGGTATTTGCACCCTGTAGAAACCCACCGCTGCAAGGTCGTAGATACCTGAAACCCCAAAACCTGTAGAATCTTGCCACGGTTTAGGGTTTAGGGTTTAGGGCTTGAGCTCTGCACAATCGCGTGGAACCTCTGGTAAAACTTCATAAACTGCGACATAGACCCTCATTCCCCTAAGACCTATATCCTAAGCCCTAAAGTGAGTCCCCTCATGGAAACATGTAGAACCCTGTAAAGAGGACAGAAAGAATTCAACCGATGAGCCCACAACCCTAAGCCCTATATACCAAAAGCTGGAAGCCCTCGGAGCCCTGTACCTCAGCCCGAACTTCACGCTCTAAACCCCTAAACCCCTAACTACCTAAAGCCCTAAACCCTAAAACCCTAAACCCTAAACCCTAAAGCCCTAAACTAAAAAAACTCTAAACCGCAGGAAAGTCGACGAAGCTATGGAGAAGGGCAAAGCCGCCATGGCTCTCTGGCGGGAGCTCGGACTGAGGACGGGTAAAGGGGGTTGGGGTTTAGGGTTTAGGGTTTAGGGTTTAGGGTTTAGGGTTTAGGGTTTAGGATTGGAGATGAGGGTTTAGGGTTTAGGTGGGGTGTAGGATTCGGAGATGAGGGTTTAGGGTTTAGGTGGGGTGTAGGATTGGAGATGAGGGTTTATTGAGTAGGGAGTAGGGTGTAGGATTCGGAGATTAGGGTTCAGGGAGTAGGGTTTAGGATTCGGGGATGAGGGTTTAGGGTTTAGGGAGTATAGGGTGTAGGATTCGGGGTTTAGGGTTTAGGGAGTAGGGTTTAGGATTGGAGTAGGATTTAGGATTCGGGGTGTAGGGTTGACGATTGGAGTAGAGTTTAGGATTCGGGGTTTAGGGTTTAGGATTGGTTTAGGGTTTAGGATTTGGGGTGTAGGGTTCAGGATTGTAGTAGGGTTTAGGATTCGGGGTTTAGGGTTGAGGATTGGAGTAGGGTTTAGGATTTGGGGTTCAGGGTTTAGTAAACCAGTGAAACTGAGGATTAGGGTTTATAGGGTTTGGGTGTAAGATCTTAGCTCATTGCCTTGCCTCAGATCCTGCACCCTGATCCTCAAACTTCAATACCTGCTAGCCCCAAACCCTTAACCTACACCCCAAACTCTAAACCCAACAATAAGCAAAGACCCTAAACCCTCAGCCCACAATCGACGCAGGCGCCAGGAGGCAGTGCAGAGTCATGCGATGGCAGGCCGAAGCACACCTTTTTGTTCTTAGGGTTCCTAGTATGATGTCCTTTTGCATGTTCTTAAGAAAGCAGGTAGGTTTTTGCAGTATGGACATGCACTTTTGTAGGGTCTTGTCGGTTGTTTGAGGGATGCTTCCTGACTAGGGTGTCATGATAAGGGCTTCAGGGTATGAGGTCTAGGGCCCAGGGTCTCGAAACACATACATACATACATACATACATACATACATACATACATACATACATACATACATACATACATACATACATACATCATCCATCCATGCATGCATGCATGCATGTATGCTGGCAAACACTGGCTATAGCTCATTGTACATGTCTATATATAATTTAATATTATATATAAATTATCATCATTTACTTATGCACATATATATATATACATAGTTATATGTGCATATATATATATATATCCATCGATCAAGCCCAGTCCACTCAGCAAGGATTGTCATAAACCGCCTGATGCCCTTTTGTAGTTGGTAAGGTCTCTCTATGTTCTAAGGGCCAAAGACGGGCACTCAGAGGATGCATGGCTTGCAGGTTTGGGTATTGGAGGTGCAAGAGTTTAGGTTTTAGTGTGAAGGATCAAGGTTTCAGCGAGTTAGGGGCTTAGAATTTGGCTACCTGGCTGTGAAGCCTGTGGGATGCGGCGCTTCAGGTGTCAGATTCTGCATGTCCGTGGGTTTAGGGAACACCAAATCCCAAACTCTAAACCCCCAAACCCAAACCCGAAACCTTAACCCTAAACCCTAAACCTTAAAGCCTAAACCCCTAAACCCTAAACCCCTAAACCCTAAACCCGAAACCTTAAAGCCCATCTTCCGCAAGGCTGGCTGCTTTACGGCCGCTGGCCCAAGAAAGCCCTGGCTCTTGCAGAGCAGGCCGTGGGGCTGTTTAGAGTTTTGAGGGCTTAGGGTTTTAGGGCTTTAGGGCTTAAGGTTTTAGGGTTTCGGGTTTAGGGTTTTAGAGTTTCAGGG